ACACACGATTAGAATCTGGAGAATCACAGAACGGCCGGCTCGGTTCGCTGACGGCCGGCCCCGCCCTTCATTTTTTATGTTTTTGAACGGCATCATTGAAGTTGCGCTGACAGGCGACAGAGGTCCGTTTCCCCGCAGCGAGGCTCCCGCCGTTGAAAGTTCACTAGCAACCCCCCCCCCCTGATGAAATGAAAATGTCTGACTTTGAAAACTTTTGTTCATTCATCATCATTGATTTAAAATGTGTTGATTAATTTTAGCTTTCAGAATTTCCGTAGATTGCAAGAGATCCATCCATCGCTTCAAAATACGGTCTTATTTCTACAGCAGTAAGTAAATGAGTTGACTTTTTCTCTGGCTCACCAAACACTAAAACATGAATATATTGAAATACACTGAGAGTACATTCTCAACACTTTGTATTCAAAGGAAAATGTATCAAGCAAGATTTCATCCAAAAGATAATATCAATAACGCTCTTTTTCCGATCAATCACTGAGTAAAGCAGCCGTTCTTTCTCTCACGCAACACGTCTCCACACTTACGGATTCAGGCCTCAGATCCACCTTCACGTGGTCTCCGTCCTCGAAACCCTCGGGGACTTGGTTCTGCATCAGCAGGGGGATGTAGAGGTTCAGGTTCTCTGCCTGAGGGCCGTTCTGCCATTCCTCCAGCTGCCTCCGAGAGTCTGCGAGACGAAAGTGGTCAAATATAACAAGCTTTTAATGAGAGTCGGGATGCTCCGATCGCCAACTTTGGGGCCGATCCAGTGGGCGGGGCCTATGGGGATCTTCCATTTAAAGTGATGTTTAAAACTCAGTTAATGGAGCTCATTCACTGGAGCTTCCACAAACAACAACCAACATAATTATTACATTCAAATGAAGTACATTAATCAAGTTTACATTAACTTTGGATAATAACACGGGAGAAATGAGCGGTCTCTCTCTCTCTCTCCCGACAGCCTGTCAGTATCTCATGCAGCTCACTGATCCAGTAATGAGTGACCCGACAGTGAAGAATAAATATATGTATAACTAGTTTAGTTCCAGTGGTAGATCAAATAGCTAAGTGTGTTAGGTCTAACTCTTAGCGTGTGTTGCTCCGCTCACCGGTCCGTCACAGCGGGTGGATCTGCTTCACACACGTTGCATTCCGCTATTTTAATGTCTTTTCCGGACACCTTGAAATACTGCCAGACTGGTAAAGCCATTTTGGCGAGCTTGTTTTGCCACACATAGAGAAAAGTGTAAATGAGATGTATTGTGGGTAGTATCGGTTTCATTTACACACTTCACAGAAGATGCAGAAGCCTCTCATTTCAAGGAATTGAAACCACGGTTGTTTTTTTCATTTTGTTTGAAGTGATTAACAGCATGTATTTGGTCATTTGTCTTGTTCTGGATAGCATAATGATTAAGTGACACTTAACACAAGTCATTACCTGTTGAGGGCCTGTTTAAGCGTAATACTTTGATGTTATAAATGGCTTATAATAAAGTTAGTTACTACTCTTTTACTCAAGTAGCACTTTTTCTTGCTTATATATACTTTTTAAGAAATACCTCTATTACCAGGGTACTGTTTCTATTGAATCTGCATCAACACTATTCTGAATACTTTACCTTCAGATAGATATTACAGGGCCAATAGAAAATCACAACATCTATACAACTACATAATATAATATCTGGTATGCAATAGATTTATTCCAGGAGATGTTTTAATCAGCTTTAAAAACGCTTTTTGGAATTGCTTTCGTATGACTTTAGTTATGTTTTAACTGTGTTTCATGATGTGTTTGGTAGCCGTTTTGTTAATTTGATCATTTAAGTGTATTAAATGTGTCAGCACTTTGTAACTCTGTGTGAAAGTCTGTTGTTATTGTTAATATTCTCGATGTACCCACCTTCAATGAGCTCTTTGACGGCCTGGGACTCCACAGAGTCATTCTCCGGAGCAGCTTCCTGTGTTTTGGCTTCAGTCGCTACGCTCGGCTCGCTTGGCGCTGCTCGGTCCGCCCGGTGGTGCCAGCGGTTCTTCTGGATCAGAGGGATGATCAGCTCTTTGGGCTTCTCTGAGGGCTTGGTACTGCAGGGCACAGTCAGGGAAAGACAATATTTAGTTAGTTACTGTGGCAAAATAATGTTTAAACTAACGTAAAATAAACTCATAACCAGGCTTGGGAAGTAACGGATTACATGTAACAGGATTAAGTAATGAGGATACAAAAAAAAGTTAAGTGTATTCCCTTACAGTTCCATAAAAACGGATGTAATCAGATTAGTGGTTAAATGGGGGTTTTAGCAGGATTACAATGCGTTTTATAATAAAGAATGACATATTATGGGTTGACGTAGTGTTTTTGCTTAAAGGTTAATTTAATTTAATTTAATTTTCAAATGTAGTAGGTGGACACCTGATTTATTAAACAAACATACTTTGTTTGATGTTAATTGCTGTGTGTAACAGCGTTTCTAAACTACACTATTCTGTAGGCCTAGCCCAAAAGGAGACATTTTTCTTATCCCAAATATTTTGGTTTCTTCCTGACATCTTATAGATATTTATTTTCTCTTGTGTTTCTTAGCATTGCATTGATACTGAGGTAATCCAAAACTAACGGAAAGTAATCAGATTACTTTACTTTTTACGTGATTACGTTACTGATTACTTTTTTTTAACAGGTAATTACTTACTAGTAATTGTAACATAATACAGATTAAAAGTAACCCTCCCAACCCTGCTAATAACGTCTACTATTTTAAAAACTAGCTAGCTAAGCTAAATCCAACTGACAAGTAAAACAGAATAAACCTTTATAGAACGTAACAGCTACGTTGATGCTAACATTCATTCTATGTAAATAACCGGTATGTTAGCATTAGCATCCGCTCCTTACCTCTGCAACTCTTTCCCGTCAATTCCCGTCAAGTAATCTTTGTCCTCTCTTTCTGTCACTCCTTCCACAGAGGAAGGTTTGAATTTGCTAACTGTTTTAGTAAATCCAAAAGACAGCGGGGCTGTTTTTTTCTCTGTTTCGTCCCCAGGAACATCTTCCCCGTGCGACGCCATGATTGTTTGTGACCAAAACTGGTAGGTGAACGGTGTTGTGGTAGTTGTAGTTTTATGTCGCTATGCTTCTCTTGTTGAAGTCTTGCCAAAGTACTACAATTCCCGACAGGCATGAGAATTAAAGGTAGGCTACATTTATTAGATTTCAACAAATGATAAGACATTTTTGTTAGGCAAAAAGCAAATTATATACAATAATAAAATAAGTAAAACTTTACAATATATAATGAAATAATATTTGACTACAGTTTCAATATATTAACAAATACAATAAAATGATATATATGTATTGGGTAATATTAAATACCAAATAAAATTTAATTTTAAATGACTCGAAAACAAATAATAATGAGAATTGCAGACTTAACAATATATGAGGACAGAATATTGGACTACAGTTTGAATATATAAACCAAAAAAGAATATTATGCTTGTCCTTGAAAATAACAATACAATTTAATTTTAATTAAAGAAATATATTTTTATTTTTGCGATAATTAAACATATGCTGAAGACTGTAATTTAAAGAATTACCTAATTTTATATTTTGCTAAATTAAAAAAGGGTCTACTCCTTATTCAATAATTTCTGATTCTGTTATAGAAAGTAGGCCTATGAATTATTGCTGCGTTCACACCATAGCGTTCACACCCAAATGGGTTATGTCCATGTTACTATAAATTAGCCTCATTAAAGTCTTATCCAAGCAAACCTCGCATATCAAAAAACAATAACATAATTATGATTACAAAACAAGTTCGAGCCTTATACATGTATAGTGACAACTTGTCGTGTATAGCAAATTAATTTCTAAAAGCTCAAATCTTGTTCTCACGCCTTTAACTCCCCGTTATAACTCGTAAACGAAAAGTGATGCAGGTACACACAGAGAGGATGATAAGGGGCGGGACTTTTAACTATTTTCATTCCCTCCCCTCTGTGCTCCTTAACTTCCCAAGATAACCTGCTGCTCATTTGCATTTTAGCAGTGTTTCTTTGCTCTAAAAGTGCTTTTTTTGCGCAGCGGGATTATTAACCAGAGCACACTTTACTACCGGACATCATAGCATGTATCTAATCTGATCTAATCTGTTGTGATCTGCTGCAATTGACGCTCCTCGCCCTCAAAGCACCGCGCCTGCAGCGGCTCAATGACACCGACTCTCTCCGGTCACAGCACCGGGAGCAGCCACGTTTCTCTTCATTATCCGTAGTAAAACACACATGAATCCGTAATTAATGCACCTGCACCACCTGCAAGGCTACAGGGAAGGATTTACCGAGGAGAAAGCGACCATGAAGGTAAGAAATTCTGTATTTTTTAAAGTCAAAATCTAGTTTAATAGTCTTCCTCGCAAGTTACACGGCATGTTCTGTCAATCATCCAGTCTGCACGTTGTTTCGCCTGTAGCAGTGCAGCAGCTGCTACATTTATAAGCAGCCAGTCAGATTTGCCTGATAGTGTGTGTGTGTGCGTGTGTGTGTGTGTGCGTGTGTGTGTGTGTGTGTGTGTCTCTGAGTATTATTCCCTCTCTCTCCTCTCCTCTC